CTGTAGGCAGTGCAGTCCCCTATAGCCCTCCTCTGACCTCTGACCTGGCTGTAGTGTGCAGTCCCCTGTAGCCCTCCAATGACCCCTGACCTCTGACCTGGCTGCAGGCGGTGCAGTCCCTGTAGTCCTCACACAGGGTGCAGTGAGCCGGCGTCAGCACCAGGTGGCGCTCCTGCTGCCCGTCCCCGCAGGCCACGCCGGGCTCGGCGCGGGCCAGGCAGGCGTTGCTGTGGTAACACCAGCCGCAGGCCTGGTTGGCCAGGCAGGCCAGGCAGGAGCGGAGCGCGGCGCAGGAGGAGTCCGAGCGGAAGGGCTCCAGGAACAGGAAGGAGATCTCCTGGGGGGAGGGGGAGAGAGAGGACGAGTTCGGGCGGGTTCGGGCCAGAGGGGGGAAGGGGGCCGGGCGGGGCGGGACTCACGCTGCCCCCTGGCACGGCCGTCCGGTTCCAGGTCAGCGCCATCTCGCTGGTCTGCCCGCTGCCCGAGGTGTTGAGGTAGCCCTCCGCCTGGATCAGGTACCGGTGCCCGCGGGTCAGGTTCTGGAACAGCCTGGCCCCGCCGGGCCGGGTGAGCAGGCGGCTCTCCTTCTCCTGCTGGGCCTCCCAGTGCCCCACCACCTCCAGCTGAGGGGGAGAGAGGGGGTCAGAGGTCAGGGGTCAGGGGTCAGGGGTCACCGCCGCTCCACGCCCATGTGCTCACCGGCTCCAGGGTGTTGGGGGCTCGGCCCACCCAGGCGGTGAAGTGCAGCCGCTGGATCCGGGCCCAGACCGACACTCTGTCGGGGGGCGAGGGGGACCCCCACAACGGGTGGATGAACCCCCGAAACTGCAGGGTGACGTCCATCTCCGTAGAGGGGTTGAGGGTGATGGAGGTACTGCGCAGGATAGACACCTGAGAGGGAGAGAGGGGGAGAGAGAGAGGGAGAGAGGGGGAGGAGAGAGGGGGAGAACGGGGGAGAACGGGGGAGAACAGGCTGTGACTCCCTCAAGACACAGAGAGAGCAGAGCCTCACAGGGGGACAGACACACAGGGGGACAGGAAGGCAGACGGACAGGGGGACAGACACACACAAG